CATCCACTGTGACTCTGGCAGCAACTACCTCAGCTTTTTTCCTTTTACATTTTTTTTTCTTTTCATAATGACAGTGGTGAGGCCCTGTCTCCCCTGACTGCACATCACTGCCTTCTGGGGTGTTGGCTATTCCTGCCAACTTTTATCCCCTCATCTAAATCATTTATGAAGAGGTTGAAAAGTACTGGGCCTAAGACAGAGCCTTGGTAAGTACCCCACTGCTTAGTTCCTCCATGTAGATACAGTTCAATTGAGGATTACACTTTAACAGTGGTTGGTCAACTAATTATAAATCCTATTTTCTATTTTAGCAAGAAGTAGGTTATGGTCTGCTTTGTCAAATGCCTTACTAAGTCCAATTATACTATGTCCACAGCATTTCATTCCACCATTTTAGTCATTTTGTCAAAGAATGCAATAAGATTTGTTGGGCATGATCTGTCTTTGACAAACCCATGTTGGTTTCTGGTTATAACTTTGCTTGCTTCTAGATGTTCAGAGATCTGTTGTTTTATTATCTTTTCAAGGTTTTTCTCAGGTACTGATGTCAGGCTGCTTGGTCTATAGTTTCCTGGATTCATTTTTTTACCCTTTTTTAAAAATGGAAGCCATGCCTGCTCTTTTCATTCCTCTGGTTAAGGTGGGAAAAGCTCTTTTCCAGTCCTCTGGTAAATCCACCGGGCTCCAGGATCTTTGAAATGTATATTTCAGTGATTCCAAAATCATGTCTTCCAGGTCCTTTGAAGCTCTGGGATAGATTCCATCTGGTCCTGGTGATTTGAACTCATCTATGGTGGACAACTGTTCTCCTACTACTTTCTTGCCTACTTTAATTTGTATTCCTAGTCTGTCTTTTTCTGTTTTTAAAAGTTTGTGCTGTTTTTTTTTGTTTTGTGTGAAGATAAATGCAAAGAATGAATTAACCAGTCTGTTTTCTCCCTCCTACCTGTCATTTCCTTGCCATCTTCTCCCATTAATGGACCATTTTTTTCCTTCTTGTTTTTTTCCATGTTTTTAATATTTTTAAGATATTTTTGATATTTGTTGCAAGTCTTAACTCATTCTGAGCCTTACTTTACCTGACCATCTTTGCAAAATTGGTGTGCATGTATACTGGCATTCTGTCATAGTTATTTGTCCCTCTTTCCATTTTTTATACTTGGCCTTTTTGTCTTTCAGTTTATTAGATAGTTCTTTATGCAATCACGCTGGTTTCTTCTTGGATCTCTTATTTTTCTTTTCAGTGATATTGTGCTGGACTTTTATAATTACATTCTTTTAGAATTTCCTAAGATCGTTGAGTTTTTTATTCACGAACATTACCCCAGCTCTCTCTAAGTTTGTTGAAATCATTTCTTTTTAAAGCCTAAGACACTAGTTTGATTTTGTTCTATTGCTTGTGTCTGCATTATATTGAATTCCAATATGACATGGTTTCCCTTACGCAAAGGTCCTGCTACTTCAACCACCTTTATCATTTCATCTCTGTTAGTAAAAATTAAGTCCAGGATAGCTGATCCTCTTTTTCCCCTCCTCTACCTTTTGGATGACAAAGTTGGGAGCCAGTCTCAGTAGGAACTTGTTTGAGCTCCCATTTGATATCAGCGTAATTAAATTCGGGTGACGTGTTTAATCTCACCAAGTTTCAGTAATGGCAGCTATATAATACCTGCTCTCATGTACTAATATTTCAAGTTCACCCTGTTTGTTTCTTAAATTTTGAGCATTAGGCATATGAGTCCTTTATGGCCAACCCCAGGTTTGTTTCCTATAACTCCTTTTCTATATCTGAGTTTTCCTTCTTTTCCACCATTCCCTATCTCCTAGTTCGATTGGTTGCCTTGGGATTTATGCTTGGGATTAGGTCCTAAAGATTCTAAAGATTGGTCACCCTTCCCCCTCAATTTTAGTTTAAGCTTCGGATAAGCTAAGCTGGTCATTTTCCACGTACAGCCTTTCCGGTTCTTCTCAGGTGCAGTCCATCCCATGTCAGAAGCCTTAAAATAGATAACATAGACTGTGGTCTAAGAATCTGAAGTTCTCTTAATGCCACCATCCCTTAAACCAGTAGTTTAATTCTAAAATCTGTTGTTCTCTCATTGGATGTTGACCTTTTGCTGGAAGTACAGTTGAAAACATTAACTGTGTTTCTAACTCTTTGACTTCCTTGCTGAACTGCTTATAATCTCTTGATATTGTTTTCAGGTTCATTGTTATGTCACTCATCCCCATATGAAAGAGAAGAAAAAATACTAATATGTGGGCTTGGTGATTCAATCACATCTTTGATTTTTGCTCCTTGATGGCAAATGAAATTAATGAGTCAGCAAATGGTTCTTCTTTCTTCCACATACTAGTACAAGCTGCAGTGGTTAATTCTATTATTTGTAGATTGAGGAAAAGTGTTACATACAGTATCTCCTCAATCAATTTATATTACTTATGATGTAGTAAACATATTAATGTTCAAATGGGCAACGAATACATATACCTGTACAACTGTAATAACCACAATCATTACAATGTGGCTACAGTGGTGGGTTTCAAATTTTTTTAGAACCTCTTCTGTAGGTGTGGCCTGCTTTGTGGGAGTGGCTTGCCAGCCATGTGACTGGGTGGGAGTGGCTTGCCAGCCAGGTGACTGGCTGGGAGTTGCCAGCTTGTAAAATGCGGTGAACCTCGCTTAATAACGCTCTTGCTTAGCAACCAAGATGTTGGCTCAGAAATTCTGGCATTTGAAGCAAGGAAGCAAGGAAATATTTTTAAATAGATCAAAAGAAGAATATTTTTTTATTAATCAAAGCAAATAAAATTATTTTTGAATCTTTTTCCTGTGTAAATGCATGTACAGTATGGATAGAAAGATTGAAGTGCAAAAGAATGTGTCAAAGACAACCATTTGATCATAAAACAAAATGTAGATGTAATGTGTATGTAGATGTAATTCAGACGTAACTTTATTATTCTATTGGCACCGAAGTGTATGGAACTGATAGAATATCTGTGTCAATTAATTAATAAAGTGGATCATATCTGTTCAGCATTGCTTAATTGCTCTCATTTAAACTACTTCAGTCAATTTTAGCAACATTCCTTCAAAATACCTTATAATAAAGATGTGCTTTGTGGCGACCTGGCTCCAATTTTTTATTGGATAAAGACAAAATCATATCTATCTTTTACAGTCTTGTCATATCCTCACTTAATCCACTCATCTATAGTCTACGGAACCAGGAGGTGAAGGATGCAGTTAGCAGAATGTTAGACAAGATAATGTTACTGAAGTAAAAATTAAATATAACTTCCTTCATATTAAAGAAATAGCCCATAATTGCATTTTCTCTGAGGAAAAATGCAATTGAAAGCTTCATGACACTTTGAGTTGACATTTGCTTGTATTTGACAAGATTAAGATCCATTCCTTCAACATATAGAAGTATTTCCCTTACAGTGGAGACAGTAAATCCCTCAGTGCAGTAGTGGAATGGACCTCAAATCCATGTCCCCCCACTCTACTTGCAATATTCGCTGCCGGCTTCCTCATTGACTTTCTTGGAAAGTTGCCAAATAAGATTGCAAACAGCAATCCCATAATCATAGAGCACTTGGCAAGAGAGGTAAATATGGTCCTATGACAGGGGCCAAATGACATTTTACAAAAATTGGAAATGCCATACAAACCATAAAGCCTGTTGCAAGGCCACCAACAATTACCATTGTTAACATTTTGAAATAATATTCTTTTGAACTATATACCTACTACATGGAATTTCACAACCAAACAATATGTTTGAATTATCCATGTCCTTGTTATGGTCAGAAAACTGATATTGCTGAATTGGAAAGATAAACATATCACTCAATGGATTGAGGACCTGGTTGTACTTGCCAAATATTGGGCAGATTGCCAATGCATCTAGACCAGAGGTGTCAAATTCATGTCATCATGGCAGCCTCACGTGATGTATCATGACTTTTTCCCCCTTCACTAAACCGGGTTTAAGCATGGCCAGCACATGACACATCCACCCACAGGACATAAGTTTGACAACCCAGATCTAGATTTGTATGGATAAAATTATTGCAATATTGGATCCATTTATACCAAATACATCAGGTTAAAAAAAAGCAAACAAAATATGATAATTATAAAAAATGTATTAAAAATATATATGTATAGAATAATAATTGCATTACATAACTACATATAGAATTATAACTATGGCAGTTACTGCTAAAATGATATATTATGGTTTTTGCTGTTTCCTTTATTGTTGTTGTTTTCCACTTTCTTTTAAAAAAATTGTATGCATTTTATGTATGGATATTTGAAGTGGGTTGCCTCTTTTTTGTCACTACTTTAAAAACAATAGAAGAATAAATCAAGAAGAGAATCTTTTGTGGGCTGTAGTAGCAATAACATTTAAACTTATATACCACTTCATAGTGCTTTTGCAGCCCTCTCTAAGCGGTTTACAGAGTCAGCATGTTGCTCCCAATAATCTGGATCCTCATTTTATTGACCTTGGGAGGGTAGAAGGCTAAATCAATCTTGAGCAGGTGAGACTCGAACTGCAGGCAGTCCATAGAATTAGCCTGAAATACTGCATTCCAACCACTGCACCACCATGGCTCTTAATAAATCACAATTTAATTTTTTGTAGCCTGCAACAAAAGGTGCACACAGTCAGAACAATAGTTGGCAAATTCAGGGGGTTGTGCAAAACTCTGCTGGAGTGATTTAATTCAAATATTTATTTATTTGATTGAGTAAATCATCATCAAAAGAAGCCTGAGAATATTGAAGTTTATCTTATTCTTCTTCCTCTCCTTGTCTTCATGTTGCTGGGCCATTGCAAACTGAGGGTCCATGTGCCTCACAAAGGGGG